ATCACATCTGAATTTTCAAAGTTGCCAATTATTATGAACATACAACCGTATATGCACAATCATGTACATGCACATGTACAGTATAGGCTATACACTGCACACAGAGCAGTTAGCATTCAAAGGCTTCATTGCCCAATAAAGTGCTGTGCTGTCATACATGAACACCCAGAAACAATGTCTCTCATGCCATCAGAAAAAAGCCCCAAACCTGATCAAACTTGCTTAAGGTAAACAGGTAGGCCCCCACAATGTAAACCCACAACTTCCATGAACATGTATACGCATTCTTGACGCACACTGATATGTCAGCAAGTACATTTTGCTTTTTTCCCCTCCCTTTAATTATTCCCCCTTCCCCCTCTTTAAACCGAGCGACTTGCAATCGTTACCACACTTCTGATACATTTCACCATTCACCAACTTGAGTAACTCTGGGGCAAAGGACATACACATGGTAACGCAGAAAGAGTTGGACGAGCCTCCACACTGGACAGAATATGACACTTTCACCACTCTGCCAACACCATACTTTTAAACAGTGTGCACAATCACGGTTAGAGCTGGGAACAACTACGGTAGATATGATGTACATTTGCATGCTTTACATCTATAGAGATATACATGTACATATATATATATATATAATTCATAGGATGCTTTACAAGTCAATTACGCTCACTGCACTTGTACTTGTGTCGTACATGTACTTTGCAATTCCTTTTGTTTTTGGTTTATGTCAACGTGCAGCAGGCATAACTGCCTTTAATAACTTGCATAAAATAAAAAGTTCAGTTTTTCTTTTAGTAAATCATATAAGATGCTCAGTTAAATAGCACGAACAGCAAAAGTCATGTGAGCTCAGAGACCCATCGGGTCCCTTACTTTCATCATTTTGTGTTCTGTTATTACTTCAGATGATTATTCCTGTATAACTGTGCCTTTAAGATAAAAAAAATTGTATCACAATTCCAGTAAAATGAAGATTGTAAAATAAAAAAAATGCTAGTCTCATTCTTCGAACTAAATATTCAATATATAAATTATATAACTCAGTACCATTTGATTTTTCTTTACACAAAAATATTCACACAATAGTTTTTTTTGTAATTTCATAATTGTATTTCATACTTTTTAAACATACTTTCCCTTGGCTAGGCTTCAAAAGAACAGCATGACTCCTCTTCAGATTTTGAAATCCATAATAACCTCTGCCCTGCACATACATGCTGGGAATTTTTATTTATCAAGCCATGGACTCACCAGGTCAAACATTCTTAGAAGCCACATGCACAATGCCTAAAGCATCTTTTGATTTTTTTTTTACAGTTATTTTTCATTCTCAAAAATTTCACATTTCTTATCTTTGCCTGTGCATGTTGACACAAATGGCACAGAAACAGTGACAAAATTTCAACGGTGACTTACTAACATGTTGTGACAACATCATTCTCAATTTCAACATTCTTCTCATTATGTTGCAACGCTTTGCTCGGAAAAAATTACTTCCGCACTAGTGCCCGGTCAAGAGGAAGGGAATCCTGACATATGCCATTGCCAGGCATTGACGTTTCCCTCCACAACTCATTGCCACTCATTATCTGGCCGTGGATTCCCATGCACAGATCAAGAAATGGTTGCCATGACTGAAGTTAGTATTCTGCCTATAAACAGCGCAAATCTACATTTATGTCTATCTACACTTCCTACAAACTACATAAGCAATGTCTTAGCTCACACAAGTACATATGTATGTGTATTCACTGCTAGGCATGGCATTTTATTACAGGGGTTTGGATTTTTCATCTTTGTGAGAAGCCAAGTTTCACCATGGCATAGGACATTTCCCAGGAGGTCTTTGTACTATATAGAAATAATCATACTCCATTTGACACTTTTCAAAGGGAATGAAAAAACAAAAACACTGTAGAAAAGTGACAGCGCACATATAGGCAAATGGTGAAGCATGAATAAGACACAGTCTACAGGGATGGCAATTTGTTACCAGTCTGGTTTCCTGAGCACCCCACTAAACATGTATCACACTCTGTGAGTCATCCAGGGATCGCATCAACAGTTCTCACACTTGACTGACCGAGTGGAGATGCCTGGTTTCTATTTCTGCCCCTTCACTGTTTGGACTTGCACACTGTCTGGCAGTTCTTATTAATTGTGTATCAATATGCATGACCTCCGCAGGAGGTTTTGAAATCTGACCGATAACAAAACAGATGGTAAATGAAAGGAATTTTGGGAAACTATCGCACTGCAAACAGTATACACATACATGTATTTATCATATCAAGTTTTTTCCTTTTTTTCTTCCCCGAGGCACACTTTTCTTGTACATGAGCTTATGGGTATGTATTTGCCAATGGTCTAGACAGATAACACTGAGTGGGATGATTATCATATGAAAAGACGTGCTAACACACACACATCCAGCTCAATGGAGAACCATGGGTCAAAGTTTGAGTCACTGCGTTCCCATGCGTTCCCATGCAGACACGTCTTTTCATTTCACATGATCTTTGAACAGCCAAGTGCACTGGTGCTGGTACTTTCGTTTTATTCCTGCCTGTCTTTCAGTTTGTTTACCCATAACACCCCAGAGTGAAACACACAACTCCTGTGATCACCCAGCCCTAGTGACCCCCCCCTTTTTTCACCTGTACTCCCACACATTCTCTCGGCCAATCAGGGCAAACAGCAGGCCAGTGAATGAAAAGCCTCCCCCCAGCCAAATGAATTCCCAGCATACCTGACCTTGGCTGACACAATTGCTAGTAGGTATCCCAGTCATTTTCTGACAGGATTTTGGGAGTTTGATGCTTTTTTTTTTTTTTAACTGACCTCCATGAAAACAACGTAATATCCCATGGTCACTCTACTTCCCACAGAGTTTAAAGAAGCCACAGCTGGGCTGACGTAAATGGACAATTCATTGCCAAAAGTGCATCCCCTACTTCCTTTGATCGGCTGGGCGCACGCATGACTTCCTTTTCCCAAAATCAAACCCCTGCCGTTCAAACTGTTCAATGTCATCCCAGTTTGGTTTCCCACACTTTCATCGCCGAGGTCCAGGGCAGAAGCGAAAGCTCTATGACCTTAAAAGCCTTGGGGTCATGCTCTCAATTTTACATTTTGCACAGTGTGGCAGCCCATCTCACATAACTTTCACTTTTAGCGGATTAATGTAGAACATAGGGAGAAAACTTGTCATGCCCAGCAAAGCCAAACCACTCAATGTGGAGAACAACACCAATTTAATTACACTGACACAACATACATTACATGTATCTTATACATGTAGTTTCATACATGTACCAGCTGCTTGTAACAAGTAGAATTATTCACACTTTTATGTATATAGTCATGATGTGTAAAAAATAATTTGGAAACCGAACCTGACCCACAAAGAATCCAAAGAAACTAAACTAATGAACAGCACCATTTACATGAACAGTTTTTAGAAACATAAGGCCACTTGGAGTAACACAATGTGAATCTGCAATGTTTGTAGTTCAAACTTCTCGTTTATGTATGTTTGCGTATGAACACGGAATGACTTTCGGAAATCGTACCAGCCAAAAACTACTGACTGATTTTGTGCTCCAGAGTGCACATGAAAACCTACGGTGCGCTGTATGGTAAAGTGAAAGTACAAAGGTACAAAACGAACAGTCATGTTTTTTCATTAGTGCTTGCAATCAGACCGTAATATTACGGGCACTAACAGAGTAAAATACAGACTGCATTTGGGAACTGTGTCAGAATTTTCACCGATGTTTTTCCTCCAATAGCACTGCCAGCATTACTACATGTATGTGTTGCTTCATTTCAAAACAGAAACTGTGTTATACCGTTCGGTCATGGACATGTACAGACCTAAACCTGCATCAAAAGATTACAGTCATGTGCAGAGTGCACATGCACCTTTTGAACTGTGAAATTCTCATATTACTATTTAGACAATTGAAATTAATGTCAATGTAGTTGCGAAGTCCTACAAAAGTATGTGTGTAAGGAACATTGATGAATAGGCACAAGACGTTCAAGAAAATCTTATTTTGGACATGTAACATTCTGCCACAAAATATGTGTAAACTATTCACCGAATTTCATTCTGTGAACGCATTCTCAGTTATCCCTTTGTACCCTGGCACAGCCCTCCCCTAATCGTAAAGTACACATCAGAGCTCTTCATCCCTAGATTTTGTGCCGGGTAGGGAAGTGGTGTCACAGTTTTGTTCCTTGTTTTTTGCCTAAAAAACTGACTCAACCAAACAGGCAGTAGGCAAACGTTCTATGCACAAGAACCATATGGAGCACTCTTGTTGAATAGCTCCTTCCTGTTGCCATAGCAACAAGGCAGGTGATCAGGAAGTGTTTACACCGCCACAAAACTATGACTACAGAGACCCCCTTTCCCCCTGGGCAGAAGACCATCCAAGCCCAAGCACGCCAGCCAGTGACAAAGAGCTGTATCATGAACGCACCATCAGTGAGCCAAATAAGAGCAACTCTGGTCTTATCCCTACTGCTTCTGAAGTCCCCATCTTTCTAAACAAAAATAAAATCCATCCATCGTCCTGGGCATGCAACTTATGGCCATCCAGTTAATGCCAAATGACAAGACTATAGAGAATTTCCCCTTCCATTCCCGACACTCTCCCTGAAGACACAGTTGCCACAATACTGCTGCAACACCCAGCCTGTTGCTAGGCAACCTTCTAGTGGCCCTGTAACCAGGATGGTCACTGATATGATGCTTCCTCTTCATTTCACACTGAAAGGTTTCAAAGACTACTTCTTCATGGCACTTTTTCCCCCTCCATAAAAAAAAAACTACCGGTATCAACTTTGTTCTGAATTACTTGGCATACAAGCCCTACCTTTTGGACAATCACATACTGGAAAGAACAGAAAACAAAGTCTTGGATAAACAAATTATTGTTCAAACCAAAAATATATAATGCATCAATATTTCAAAAGTAGTAACCAAGTTTTTTTTGTGTTTTTAAATTTTTTTGGTTGTTTTTCTTTTACAATTTGTACATTTTTGAGTTTACCAATATTTTGACCATAGACAATTTATAAACATTATTAACTTTTTTTTGGTTTTAGAATTTTGTACTTTTTATGCGCAATTGTACCTCCACCGTGGGAATTTCGGTAAACTTGATATATACTTACTAATTTAGTTTTTCTTTTTGTTTACACTAGTGATAGGCATACAGTTATTTAAGCGTACATACATTAACATCAGATTAGATGCATAATACAAATGAGTTAACAGTACAACTGCTGTTCTTTAGGACTGGACCAACACGGGCCACTGTATCCACATACGACCCCTTCTTATGTGTGAAGGTCTGAACGTTATCTCTCCTTTCCATTCCATAAACCCTGTGAAAATTGTTGGGGTTAAAACCAACCCCCACAGAACACTTCTTTTCCAGTGCCCCAAAGGCCAACATCCTTTTTCTGTACTGCTTTGCAGTAATATACCGCACGGCTGCCACTCGAAAACCCCGTGCTGCTCATCAACCCCTCCTTTTTCGTGACAGAGCATGTGATTTCAGAACCCAAAGTGTGCATGAGTGTTCACTGTGATTACACAGAGGGGGGGTGGCAGATAGAGAGAGAGAGAGACCCACTGACAGATGGAAAGGAAGAGATCACGATCACCTCTGATCTACCAGTGCCGAGATGAGCGTCCTCTTGCCTGCCGAGCGTTCTCGTCCGCCGGAGAGTCTCTGGCGTCAGAGGTGCCTCTTCATGTGCAAGGCCAGGTGGTCCGATCGGGAGAAGCAGCGGTCGCAGCTATTGCACTTAAACGGCTTGGCACCGGTGTGTTTGCGGTAGTGGCGGGTCAGCTCGTCCGAGCGGGCAAATCTCCACTCGCAGCCCTCCCAAGTACATTTGTATGGTTTTTCTCCTGCAGAGGGGACAAGCGGATCAACAAAACTATCAGTCTTAGCCTACAAAATGCAATTCGTGCACTGGACAACCACTGAAACTCTGACCTCCAATGTACAGTTATTTTTCACTTTGCTTTTATATCACACCCAGTGATTTTTCTCTGCAACGAATGTTTTACCATTTGAGGGGAAGCGGCAGCCTAAACCTATCCGTAGATCCAAACAAAATGTAGTTGAGAATAGTAAGCAAATTGCAACATATTGAACCAGGAGTACCAACAAAATTAAGCATCGGTGGTAGGAGACTTTCAGTTACACATGTCCAAGCTATGGTCTTAACTGTACCTGATGTACAATGTACATGTACAACAACATGCACTCTACATGTACGGTTCCACATGTGTAGCACTTGCCTGCCTTTTTGCACCCACACTGACCTGTGTACTGCCACTCCCATCCCATATCCAAACAAACAAAAAACCATTATTTTGACCTTTCTGGGCAACCATTATTGGATAACCTCCGGTGTCCCAGGCAGGACACTGCAAATGACCTTGGGACCTGGGCAGATTTCTCACACATTCAGTGACAGGACTTAGAGCCCAACTGAGTTGTGGTAATCTGACACTGGCCTTGCTGGGCGCAGAGAGACACCACAGAGCAAGCAAACATACTACACACATGCAGAACAAAATTCCACTTGGGAGTGTGCTGCTGACATGCCTCACAGCTGCTGTCCTTGTTACACACATATACATGTACACACTACATCTTGTTTACATGCTGGCCCTCATTACTCAGTATCACATGCCCAAAGATTCACACTGCACATATACATGTACATGTTCTGTACACAACACAATGATTGCAAATGCACGCTCTCAGGATTACTTCAGAGGATTCAATGCAATTGAACCAGGAAATGTACTAAGGAAGTGAAACCCTAAAATACGGCACTGGGCAGGCAATACGTCATCGTATGCACAATGCATTCTCATCTACAGTATATGTACATGTACATGTGCTGTAGTGATGTGCATGTACATGTAGACCTGTGCACCCATTAATTTATTCACAGAATATCAACGCACATGTAAATGCTTTTGAAGTAGCCCTTGTTTTTAGCCCTCTTAATGAAATTAAATGAAATCTGATCATTTTTCCTTGATGTGCTGACAATGTGTCTAAAGTTCCTTCTAACATAACAGTACATGTACAGTGAACATGTATACATCACTTCGAATACGTAATAGTTTATTGTGCTTAGTGTTATAGTGTTAACAGGTTGAAAGTACCAGCACATTGTGTGAAATAGTGTACACTGGCCATAGTCTGGGTACTGCTAAAACTTAACGTGAATGACCTCTTGGACGTCATTGAAAATACACCGTACAGTGCATGTACACGCACCTTGGTAGAATAACAATTACATGGCACCTTAATGCTTTGGCTTAAATGAAACAAAAATACATGAAGTAGGCAGCATTTCAGGGAAAACACAATGCAATGTACTGTAAATGTCGTCCGACCTGGGCCAACGTTAAAGCGTACACGTGTCTGTGTAACCATCTTGTATAACTCATGAGGAACAGCAGTGTAGGGGAATACAATTTGGACGGCCAGTTCCTCGTTTTGTACAGTCCCCCTTGCCTGTGACTTGCGAGCTTCGACGCTAAACAGCGGTGCCCACTGCCAGCCATGGGCCTGACCACTCCACTAATTGCGCCGCTGGTGATTTGGATAATGGACGCCTGTGATACACACTCATGATTGCCAACTGGGTGGAAGAAGACGGGCTGGTTTTGATTCATCTCTGACCTAGCACCAGGGGTTATCATACTGATTTATGCCCATGAAGAAATAGGGCCTACAGTCCTGTTTATTTGGAAAATGGCCTTGGTTTCAATCCTTCCGCACATGCTGTTTGCAAGTCCTTGTACATGTACATGGCATGTACAAGACATGTGTGTGACACAAACATTCCCAACCTACTGAATATTTAAAACTTGGAACTAAAAATGGGAGAAAACTTTCCAGTACCATTTGGAATTTTAACAAACAAAATGTCCAAGCTTTCACATATCCATTATATTTCACTGGAGAAAACCTTCCGATACCATTTGGTACAGTATTTCAGCTAACAAAATGTCCAAGCTTTCACGCATCATTACCTTTCATCCCTAATGTGCTCCAAAACATAATTTCACCATCGACATGTAGATGCCAAAAAAATTTGTACTTAACATACTTGTCGGAAAACAAACTCAAACCATGCTGACGTGGTCATTATCTTAAACCTGTAACAAGCCCCTAACAAGAGGACAGAAGAGAGTTTGACTTCAACAAAATTTATCTCTACAATAGTTGGCATACCTCCACTGGGCGTCACCAAGTGAGCCCAGTTCAGAGGGTAGGCACCTAGAGGGTCCTTATCTGCCAGTCAATGATGGATGGAGATATAATGCTTGGCATGACCCCTAAACAACACCATTTCCCCCCACTTGCCCAGCCCCATAAAACTACCAGTATCTCCTCCCCTTAAAAGGGTCACTGTTTATTTGATTTGGAAGGTAGTTGAGCTGTTTGTTGCCAGTCAATGTAATGATTTATAAAATGGCATCAATCTCTAAAATGTCGGACTAAAGTTAAGTTTTTGCATGTCCAGAATCCCCTACATGTACAGGTAAGTTAACAGCAGTACATGCATGTTAACAGCAGTACATGCATGTAGATATGTACATGATGATTTTTTTACAAGGGAGAGTCACTGGCTTTCACCACCATTAAAACAGAAAGTTTCCAAATTTTTTTAACCACTGCTATGGCAGATTTTATTTTCTTTGGCAACTTATTGCTGTGTAAGTATGTAGCAATAATCCAGCAAAAATCCTTCTCACAGAAATGTTCCCAGATTTGGGATTCACAATTCGAACATGAAAACATACAACCTGACCCATCTCTTTCTGAATTTACATCAAAGCAAAAGCGCTCTCACTTGTCCAGAAATGCTTGGTCAATTTTTAATGTGTGAAAAAGTGCACCGTTCAGTTCACATAACTCAAAAAAGATGTCCAACAGTCTTCATACATGGAAGAAGAGTACAGAGATACACAAAAAGTGATTCGAAGAAAAATTCATTTCCTGGTTCCTTTACGGCAAATGCCGTCATAACATGGATGTATGTGGGACATGTGTACGTACTTGTATATATGCATCCATATCATGTAGGCATACATGTACCGATACACGTGCGCTACACGTACATGGGGCCTTGTGGGGTACCGGAAGAATGGGAAGTACCCGGGCCCACAAGGCCAGTTTTTACCTTGTGGGGTACCAAAATCCCACAAGAATTTCACAAAACTGATATTTGGAAATAACTCAAAAAGGGGAAATACATGTATTTGATAGGTAAAAATCTGTCGCAAATTGAAGTGTTCTACCGGTATATAAGGGACATACAGTCGAAATTTCAACCCAGGAAACTGAATTTGGTTTAAATTGGAGTGATTTGAAATTTTTTGGGTGTTGTGTGGGAGTTTTGTACCGAGAACAAAGGAAATACCCCACAAGTCTAGCTGTGTAAGGATGCCTGCACATACTGCATTATTACCCCCAAAAAATAATAAAACATACAAAAAGGATATTCAACTTCTTCTAAAAGATACACGAACGTGTACACACAACTAAAAAACAAACATGCAGGTGCATCTATAGTCTGAACATTTTGTTCAGCTTTCATAAACGCTGCTGTTTGTTACTAATTCTGCACAGCACTACATGTGCGTGAAAATGTGAAGTCTAGCTACATGTACATGTAGCCATGTAAGCAGGTACGTACATGTAGCTATGTAAGCATGTACATGTAGCTATGTAAGCATGTACATGTAGCTATGTAAGCATGTACATGTTGCTATGTAAGCATGTACATGTAGCTATGTAAGCATGTACATGTAGCTATGTAAGCATGTACATGTTGCTATGTAAGCATGTACATGTAGCTATGTAAGCATGTACATGTTGCTATGTAAGCATGTACATGTTGCTATGTAAGCATGTACATGTAGCTATGTAAGCATGTACAGTACATGTAGCTATGTAAGCATGTACATGTACATATAGCTATGTAAGCATGTACATGTTGATGTACACGTGTTAATAATGTACAGACTCTGCAGAGTAAATTGGGACAGCTACATGTAGGTTCGGAACATTACATGTACATACATGTACTTGTACATTCTTAAATATACATATGTACAAGCTTGCAAAATGGGAACCGGCACTGGGTCTAAATTTGAAAATCCACAGATTATGTGGATGGAGCGAGTAGAAAAAGAGTAGACAAGACTCTATGTGCAATTAATGTACACAATCCTAGTTGCATGGATTGCCAGATGACATGCACGTACATGTACACGTCTCAACTGCAGTGAACTGCAGGACAACGCAGACTGTCCGTATGCAAATCATGATGCTGGCAGTTTGCCAACCTACCAGTTTGCTCACAGTCTGCACACGGGCATTAATATTCGTTAAGCGTGCAGCGTGATTCATGCTATTGATCCCATGAATAAATGCTAATCAGTTGACAGGCTGAAGTGAGGACATTCGTGCACAAAATATTCACCATCAGCTTAGGATGGATAAACATGCACAGGAAAGTAGGAATACAATATCCATTCAGTTAACTCCAACCTGCCAAGTGCAATTTCTAGATTCGGCATGGTTGGGGGTTAATAACGAATACTCTGAACCACATGTTTGTGTATTGACCATTAAATTTATGACCAGCTCGGGAGGGAAAGTTGTTCACACCATGACCTATATTGTAATTGTGCACAGAGCAGCTCTAGTGAAGCCTAGGCTCAATGCACGCACTGATAAACGAGTGCCACTGAAACAGTCTGGCAAGTAATGTGTAGCGTGATTCCATCATTATCCACAGAAATCTCTCAAACATAACAATAATCCCCAAATCCCCCTGAACTCCTCCGAGTCCTAACAAGTGATTTTG